TGGACAAAATCTGAATTTTTTAATTGCTCCTTTGAAGATAGAGAGAAATTATTTTATAAAACATTAAACGTGAATAAAAAAGGTAACTTATATAGAAAGTCAAATATTATCTAGTGATTTAATTGAATTAAAAAGTTGTAAGAATAATGTAGTTCTTTCTTCTTCATTCTTGTTTCTTATAAATATCCTGAATTTGGAAGAATTGTAATATCAAGTTTATTCTGCAGAAGCATTGGATTAGTCAAACTAATTTGGATTACCCAGTATATCTTTAATTTATATACATACCATTCTCAGGGCCAGATGTATGGGCAGATATCTTGGGTACATGACTAGGAACCTTTTCGAAAAAATAAAAAAATAAAAACAAAAAAAAAAAAAAAACACTAAGGGACAGCACAAAAGCATTCCAAGCTCACCTGAGTCTGCATCATCTGACTGTTTGGGGGAGGGGGCTGGGAATGGGGGGACGGTTGCGAGACTGGCTGCTGTGGCGGTGAGGGCCTCATATGGGAATTCTGCAGGGTAGAGAAAGCAGGCTTTGGGTCAGGGGAGAACAACTACATTGCTGACAAGCACAGCACTACAAAGCAAACACCAGATTCTAAATACACACACGCACCTAAATTACAAGATGGTTAAAAAAAATAACAACATGCGTCCGCCGCACGATCTTATTCCCACAGACTTTTGAGTTAACACTCTTAGTCATTACATAAAGTGGGTTAGTCGTTATGTGAAAGTGAATGGTTAAGTCATGTAGAAAGCATTAGAGCTCAGAGAAGAAAAGATCAATTTGCAAACACTTCCAGATACATTACATACATTTAGCATTACAAGAGTTAAAAATAAAAAATGAAGACCAGCCATTTTGTTTAATGTTACCGTATGCCTTTTTTGTTTGTTAGGTAGAAGTTAAGGTTTTAAGATTGTTAAATGTTAGTAAAATATTATTATTATTATTAAATTTATGTACACAAAAGAAACATATTTTAATCAATAATCTAGAAATAGATATATTATATAATAAATATATGCCATGCAGTTTTGTTGCAAGGAACATAAGATTTCTTCTGTTTGATCAAAATATAAAAATTATTTATCTGAAGATTACTTTTGATGAATATTTAAGACAATTTAATTAAAAGCTATGAAGGACTCTATAAAACTAAAAATCTCATTAATAAACATTTTATATGTATTCTCTTAGTGCTTTCATAACTGTGAACATATATCTATAATTATAAATTAAAGAGAAGATACAGGTAACCCCCGTATAACATGGCAGCACTTCTATTCACTCAGAATTCACAGATTCACTCTAACATGGTTCAAGAATTCGTACCATCCCTGTATAACACGGTACTATTATAGCACAGATTCACTCTGACACGGTTCGAGAAATGGGTAAAACTCTCGTACAACATAAAATGTAATAAATTTTTACATACTTAAGTACTAATAGTTCACGAAAATTATTATTTTCGTGAACTATTAGTACTTCAGTATGTAAATTTTCTTTTCTTGCCTTTTGTCCGTACACTTGGTCCTTCACGAAACTTGTTTCAATTTTGCCAGATCTCAACATTTCTGCTTCTGGTGTTGCCAGATGTTTTTCCCTTATTCCATAAGTGCTTAGCACCATATAAGGAAATTTATAAAGATTTTTTAACTAGAAGCAAGCAATCTAAAATTACATACTTTTTGCAAAAGGTAAAGCATGAATCTGAAGATAATGCAGAAAAATGCTCAGAGGATAAGGATAACTTGCCAAAAAGAAAATGCTCTCGGTTAATAGTGCTTTTAGTGATGACAAAGAAAACATTGTTTAATTTATATTTATAAAGATGTATCTTGTGATTGTTA